GAAGGCACCCCAACACTGCACATTTTGCATGTCTCCTTTCTCTGACGCACCAATTTCAGGTCTTGAAGTCTCTACTAATGAGCTGATGAGCTGAATCAGGTGTGTTTGATTAAGGAGACATGCAAAACGTGCAGTGTTGGGGTGCCTCCAGGACCAGGGTTGGGAACCACTGGGTTAGACTAGTGTGTGTGCGCATTTACAGTGTGTTCTTTCACTGTATGATTCAGTTTATTAAAATACATTTCGAATGATCACAAAATTCAAGATATGGGAGCAGAAAATGTAAAAATGTATATCATTTAATATAGTTTAAATAAATATCATTTATATATCAATGTTGTTTCTTTTCTCCAAAAAATCAACATGATTTCAAATGTGATATTAAAATTATGGGATATTAATATACAGTTCAATAAACAAAAAGTTAATTAAGAGACTTAAGTTTTAGACACCATATTGCCTGTTTTTGCTTTATTTCGACAACAAAAATAACTCCAAACAAAGCCACAGCAACATTTAGTTGACTTTTTTTCTTCAGCAGAACAGTAAAGAAGATCTTTAGCTGAAACCGTTCTCCTTGGTGAATCATAAAATGCAAGTCAGCGGATGCCCGTATTTGAGAATAAAAAGAAGCATGTCAAGGAACACAAAATTAGTACCTGTGACTCCTGATGATTATATTATGAAGCGAAACGATCAGTCTGTGCAAGAAACTGAACATTATTTACAACATTATTACCTGTAATCCAGAGACTTCTTTATTATTATAATTTTTTTTTTTTTTTAAGTGTAGGCCTATTTTTAGTTGTGAATGTCCCAATTGGGGGTACAGGATTTAGAAATCTCAGATAAATGATCATGTTATATATTTTGGTTGCATTTGTGAGATAATAAAAAATTTAACTGCTTGTGTAAAATAGATACATAATATCATAACACCGATTGATATACTCCTGAATTTAATCGAATTACTTACAGTAAGCCGTGAAAAAGGACTCAATGCACTGATGGACATACAGCCGAATTCAGTTCTCTTTCACAGCTTATTGTGCTTAAACGGTCAAATACACACACAATTATGTCAAAATGCACATTGTATGGCGTATTCACATAAACACACAATCTGTTATGTCCTACATGAACATAAACAGTTCAGAGCAAATCGGATGTGTAACAGTATATTAGAGCCATGAATTCGTTCTTAAAGGGACAGCAGCCTAATAAGCTGTTGCCATCTGTTACAGTAATGTTAATTTAAAAAAAACACATCACTTTTGTATCTTTATTATAAATCAATTTATATGTAATTCATACAGTGAAGACTATACAGTGTTTTATTTGTACATTTGATTATTCAATTTCAAGGTTTACATTTAATTCAGTGAGTTTTTTTCTTCAAGACCTATTAAACTGTCTACTGCAGTCAAATAGGAAAAAGTACACAAAACAGTAAACTAGAATCAAATATATGCATAAATTGAATCAACATTTGATTAAAATTTGAGAATCGATTTTATTTGATATGAATCAAATCGTGAGGAACTCAAAGATTCACACCCCTATAATCTAACATATTTGTTTCTAGAATTATGATGCAAAATGCAAGTTGCCGTATTATAGCACCACCTAGTGTCGACGGGAGTAGCTCTGACAATAATAATAAATTCACTTAATGTACTGTGATCTGCTTCATCTGTGAGTCAGAATTAAACCTGCTCTGTACAGAAATGTGGTTTGATCTGCTGGTGGACAAACAGCGTCTGCATCAGAGTGTCTATCATTAGTTGAATGCGGTCAGTGTTTCTGTCAGTAGTTTGTGGATGAAAAGTTTCTTCATTTCTCTCCTGTTAATGAGAACCTCATGTTCTTCCACTCCACATAAACAATAAAGTGACTTTATAAACCCCTGAGAAACAGTCCAATCAGAGAAACAGGTCATTGGTCAAGTAGGATTGTCACCTATCATGCATTATTGAACACCGCAGATTGACCACAGATCATCCCAAAACACTAAATTACACACAAGTAGATACAGATTTCTAATCATGCAACATTTCACTTCTTCACTCTTGATCATATTTCTGTACCATCCATAAAACAGCTTAGTTACTTCCAACAAATCCAACAATCAAATAATAACTAGATGTATTTTCATAATTTTCACGACTCGCACATGCATGTGATGTCCCCAGTGCAGCAGGCAAGCTTGGAATATGGAAAAGCTTACATTCAGCAGATAGAAATATTGCATTATACTGATTTTGTCAGGAAAAAAGATGATCTGAACACTGTTGTGTAAGATGTGGCTTTACTTGCTCTGGCATTACATCCCACCCACATCCCTCTGATCAGCATGTGGTACATTATATTACTATAATAAATTTTTTTTTTTGGAAAATTAAAGTTTCTTACAAACTTATGTGATTTGATAAAATACATAATGAAATATAATCGTATGTGGGTAATGGAGAAATTACAATTAGCTTCACAATTAGCAAATTACAATTAGCTTCACAAACTACACATGACAATTAATGAGATTAATACAACACTTCTACTTGAATGTCACTATCAATCACTAGAATTTTATGTGGAAGATACAGTTACAACTTCTGTGAGGTGTGAAGAAAAAGTAACGTAACTAGTAGTGTAACTACGTCACGTTTGCACTACTGAGTGGAGTGCGGAGCAAGGAACAGAGGGAGACGAGGAGTACATCAATCCAGAGAATTTTAATATAGTAAGGAACCACGAAAACTCATGTAGACATGAACAATACCGGACGCTGAACTAAAAACAGGGAACACTATTTAAACACATGACAAGACGAGGGACTGACGAGACACACCTGGGATCAATGGAAATAATAACAGTTTTAAGATATCATCCAGCTCCTTTGATCCTGATTCCCAAATTAAAAATAGTACATTAATTACATCAAAACTAAAAAGTTTGTTGTAAGTCGAGAAAACAAGCCAAGACATTTCTTTCCAAAAATCCTTTGCATACTTGCATTCAAAAAATAAGTGTGATATTGTTTCCAAATTAGAATTACAGAATGTGCATTGTGAAGAGATGTCCAACTTAAATTTTGAGAGTAAAGAATTACAGGGATAGTACATATGAAGAATCTTATAGTAAAGTTCTTTCATCTTGTTAGGTAACAGAAACTTGTTAATACCGGCCCATATTTTAATAGTAGAAAGAAAAGGGTCATTTATTTTCCACTTATAAAATGCTTTAGGATGACAACTAAGCTTCTTAAAAAGGATTTTTCTAATCCAGAAATTGTTACATTTAACATTAGAAAGCTCCAGACCTCCAACACAAATTTTTGGCATTTCACATTTTGAAGATCTGTAACAATTTGCCCTAACCAAATGTTTGAGCTTGAACTTGCCCCCGGAATTAAATCAACATAATCGGGACAGGAACAGGAAACTAACCAAATATGGGCAAGGAAGGCACATGGGGAGCAAAACACACACAAAACACGGAACAAAGTCTGACAAACTAATTACTGTAGCCAGAAAGTAATAAGTAAAGAAACAATATTACTTTTGAAATGAGTAACTAGTAATGAGTAATACATTACATTCTTTGAGTAACTAGCCCAACACTGGTGCTGATATATGTGGTTATTTACTGAGCTGATGTCTGTCTTTTGTTGTAGATCAGACTGACATATTCATTCACACTAATGACTGTCTGTCTTTAACTGTTACACAACACCAGACCCACAGACTCCTCCATCTCCTGAAACCTCAGGACCTCTGCTAATATTGCTGATCTCTGCTGCCGCTGGATCTCTGGTGATTGTGGCTGTAATTGGGTTGTTTTGTATCTGCTGGAAACACAGAGGCGCAGGTCAAGTCAATCTACAGCTCACACATCTGTAAAAACAATTGTGAATCACCAATATTCTCCATGTTTTGACTGAATGTGTCTGTCATTACAGTTCATGAAGATGAGACTCCAGCTGCTGCATTACTCTACAAACACACTGGACTAATGACGGTAAGAGTCTCTGTGTCATTTCAATGACATTTACATTTATTACGGTTCAAAAATTCTATATAGCACATAGCAATAGTATATTACTGTTTGAAATATGTATCACATACTGCATGCTACTTCACAAACGTATTACACATATTTGTCAGTGTTTGGTGTGTTATGTGTTGAACATATTTTGTGGTTTCCATAATCAATCATATTGCTTGGTTTTATTTTTTGGTTACAATTAATAAAGTTCCTCTTGTGTTATGGCCTTCAAGTCCCCATGAAATCAAAATTAACATTTTTTAGGTGTTAGTATCAATAATAGTTGTTTCAACACAAGCAAACATCATACATGTGATTCCCTGTTTTTGTTTTGATTTGTTTTTAGTCCAAATGGACCCTGTGATAGTCTTTCCTTTTGCTTTATCTTAATAATCATCAGTGCATCTGGTTTGATCTGTCGTGGAGAAACAGTCAACATGTTTCGGTGTGTGTGTGTGTGTGTGTGTGTGTCTGTAGTTTGTGTGTGAAGCATTTCCTCATTTTTTCTCCTTCTGTTATGAATCTCACAATCTTCTGTTTCACACAAACAAAAAAAATCTTTACACTGAAATAAATTGAATGCTTATATCTTCTAAATGCAAATTGTGTCACTGTTTTGGAGTGCACTGCCTTATAGATAACCTTAAGACTAACATATTGATACTAACACCCAAAAAACTTTAATTTTGATTTCATGGGGACTTTCAGATGACAGACTATAAGCACTCAACACACTGAACCAAAACTAAGTTTGTTGATTAGATTTGTTCATATTTCTCTTTATTCTCTCATGTTTTCAGCTCGTCTGCCTGTTCCTGTCATCAACAGAGACTGTTCTTCATCATCATCATCATCATCATGTTCATTGGTGTGTTCAGTGGTGAATGTGAGTCATGTGACTCTCTGCTGGTACAAAGGAAACAGTTTATTGTCCAGCATCAGTGTGTCTGATGGAGGTTGAGTGTCTGGATGATTCCTACAGCTGTGTTGTGGCTCATTCATTCACCAACCGGACCACACATCTCAACACTGGACTCTGTCACACATGTTCAGGTATGTCAGCTGTGATTTTATTTTTATGTCAGCAATAATGTTTTTTGACTGAGCTGATCTCAGTTTGGTGTTTTTATTCCTCAGACTCTGTCCACTGTTGTGGTTCTACTGAAGCTGTGATCCGATTGGTCCTCTCTGCTCTGGTGGGCGTGGCTACTGTCATTCTTCTGGTTTATGAAATCAGATCCAGAAGAGCTGAACACGATCAAGCACAGATTCACACATCAGGTACATGATTGATGTCATTACTCACAAACTGATTTTGCATATATATATAAATATTTGTGAGATTTATTCATTTGTATGTTCATCTATTTCAGGAAGTATTGAAATCTAAAGCAGAACGCTAAAGGCTCTTGAAGTGTTTTCTGTTCTTCTAGTGTTTTTGTCATAAATACTGATGATTATTTGAGCTTACGCTCTCTTTCAGTGTCAGATTTTTAAAAGTCCAATTTGAAAGCCTTTTTTGTTTATATTTCCCTCAGATACCTAAAACAAATGAATAAAGAGACACTAAGATCTCTCTTTACTACTGCTGTGCATTTGTCATCTGTATTTGCTTGCCTTTATCAATAAAGTTTTTATTCACTCTGAGCTTCAAGAGTCTCTCCATGTTTTGTTAAATTTATTATGTCGAGCACCTCCTGGAGGAAAACTCCTCCTCCGTCAGTCAATGATAAAGTCTTTAAATCTCTGTAGTGTGATTTGTGTCTGTGTTTCATCTGTGGATCAACAGCACCATCAGTAACTCAGTCTGAATCAGCATGTTATCAGGAGTGATCTGCTCAGTTTCCTCTGACTCCACTAGTTCTGTCTGATTGCTTTAGCGTGTCTGTTCTGTTGCATAATATTATTAATTTCAAATTTAAATATCCATTTACTTTCATAAACCATCCTACATTTGCTCAACAGTATTAATCTGTGACAAACCCCGTTTGTTTTGTGTGTGTTTTGTTGATCCAGATGAAATATCAGTGATGGAGGGAGATTCAGTCACTCTAAACAATCGTCTTACTGAAATACTGAGTGTTGATGAGTTTCTGTGGTGGTTTTCATATACTAAAATAATTGCTATAATCGATAAACCGACCGACATATTCGATGTATATGATGATGCTCTTGATGGGATATTCAGAGACAGACTGAAGCTGAACAAACAAACTGGATCTCTGACCATCACAAACATCACAATGAAACATGCTGGAGATTATGAACAAATGACTAACAAACTGTTTGCGATTTTCAGTCTCACTGTCTATGGTGAGTGTTTTATTGGTTTCATTTATTTATTGCAGCATTAAAGTAAATCTAAGGAAGTATCTAATTACTTAGAATTACAAATCAGCTTTTTTAGCTTTATATTTAACTTTCTATTAAATCGTTTTTAAATGTTATACTTTTGATCATTCTTGGTTCCTCTCAATGTTTCTTCCTCATCTGCTTGAATATCTTCATTTATCTTTATTTCTCTTATATTTTCAGCTCGTCTGCCTGTTCCTGTCATCAGCAGTAACTCTTCACAATGTTCTTCATCATCATCATCATGTTCATTGCTGTGTTCAGTGGTGAATGTAGGTGATGTGACTCTCTGCTGGTACAAAGGAAACAGTTTATTGTCCAGCATCAGTGTGTCTGATGGAGGTTGAGTGTCTGGATGATTCCTACAGCTGTGTTGTGGCTCATTCATTCACCAACCGGACCACACATCTCAACACTGGACTCTGTCACACATGTTCAGGTATGTCAGCTGTGATTTTATTTTTATGTCAGCAATAATGTTTTTTGACTGAGCTGATCTCAGTTTGGTGTTTTTATTCCTCAGACTCTGTCCACTGTTGTGGTTCTACTGAAGCTGTGATCCGATTGGTCCTCTCTGCTCTGGTGGGCGTGGCTACTGTCATTCTTCTGGTTTATGAAATCAGATCCAGAAGAGCTGAACACGATCAAGCACAGATTCACACATCAGGTACATGATTGATGTCATTACTCACAAACTGATTTTGCATATATATATAAATATTTGTGAGATTTATTCATTTGTATGTTCATCTATTTCAGGAAGTATTGAAATCTAAAGCAGAACGCTAAAGGCTCTTGAAGTGTTTTCTGTTCTTCTAGTGTTTTTGTCATAAATACTGATGATTATTTGAGCTTACGCTCTCTTTCAGTGTCAGATTTTTAAAAGTCCAATTTGAAAGCCTTTTTTGTTTATATTTCCCTCAGATACCTAAAACAAATGAATAAAGAGACACTAAGATCTCTCTTTACTACTGCTGTGCATTTGTCATCTGTATTTGCTTGCCTTTATCAATAAAGTTTTTATTCACTCTGAGCTTCAAGAGTCTCTCCATGTTTTGTTAAATTTATTATGTCGAGCACCTCCTGGAGGAAAACTCCTCCTCCGTCAGTCAATGATAAAGTCTTTAAATCTCTGTAGTGTGATTTGTGTCTGTGTTTCATCTGTGGATCAACAGCACCATCAGTAACTCAGTCTGAATCAGCATGTTATCAGGAGTGATCTGCTCAGTTTCCTCTGACTCCACTAGTTCTGTCTGATTGCTTTTGCTGTTCAGCTGGGGGTCATTTGCATTCGCACTGAAGAATTTCTACACAAACGAGGTATTACTTTTATATTGTGAACACAGAATTGATCTTTTTGGACACCGTAGTGAATGAAACTTGGTTGAATGGAGTTGTCAGTTTGTTGGTCTTCTCTTGTCCCACCAGAACTTGGTCCTCAAGCTGTGAATCTCTTGAGTTTCTCATACTCAAAATAGCAGCTGTAATAATCAACTGCAACTAATATAGACTCTCCTGTTGGTAGAGCTTGTTCATATTGAATTCTATTGAGTTTCAGACCTCTGCAAGACTGCATGTAGTCTCTGATCATGTGTCATTGGTTTGGAGAAAGAAAATAATAACTCTGTTCTTCAGATGTGTTTGGTGTCGATGCAGTGAAGTCAGCGTCAGTGATGGAGGGAGATTCAGTCAATTCAATTCATGTTTATTTGAATAGAGTTTTTCACAATACATTTCGTTTCAAAGTTCTAGAATAATACAAATCGTGCAATTAGTTAATGACAGTATTCATGCAGAAACGATTAACATGATTGAGGCAATGATTACATGTTGTGGTCATTATGATTAAAGTCAGATTTGTCAGTTTTGAATATTGATTTAGAGTTGGCATCATATGATGTCTTCAGTAGAGGCCGGATCTAGCTTGCATAATATCTAGTTACCAGGGGCCAGTTGTTCAAAAGTAATCTGATCGGATTTTGGCCATCGGATTGGATCAAATCTTGAAAATGGGTTGTTCAAAAGAAAAAAAGGATTCTGAATTCGGATTAGATCACAAAATCCAATCTTGGTTTTTATCTAGATTAAATCCTCAGTTTGTGTTGTTGAAAACGTTTTACTAAGATTGGGATACTTTTGATCCAAAAAAAAAGGATTATTCTGATCCCAGCAGAAGGGTGGATTTCAGGAACCAAAATGTAATAAAACTTTAAAACTGGTCCAAAAATGACAACATTTGTAACGTAATATATCCCCAAACAGCTGTCAATATCAAACAAAAATATTATATTTCATTTAAAGTTTTTTTTTTTTTTTTTTTTTAATCACTGATTTAGAAATCCATCTGGATCAGGGTGATCCAATCCAATTTTTCTCTGGAAAAACCGGCTCAAAAGTAAGATGGGTTACCTGATCCTGCATAGCAAAACATGGGATTTCCAAATCCAGATCATTTTGATCCAGACTAAACTTTTTGAACAACTGGCCCCTGGGGATGAGCCTCCTGAGGTAGAAACAGAAAATAGAGATTAATTAGTGTATGTCCACAGAAGAAATTATTTTTCTTTTTTTTTTTCAAATTTTTTATGACATCCACCTCAAACCTTACAATGCACATGATAACTTTCATGAACTCTACAATAAGTAAATCCACGTCACCAGCTCATTACTCTTCAACAGCGATGCTATAGATACCGCAAAAACGGAAGTTCAAAGACAGAATTTTAAAGATGGCTGCGTGCTTGTTTCTCTTATGCATACAGTTTACATGATTGAGTCTTCTGTTCAAAAAGAAATAAATACTATTTAAACAAATCAATAAAACAGGATTTTTACAAGCAATTGCAAGCAATACTGAGCTCTCTGGATTGTAATATCAGTACTAAACAGAAAACGTTTAACTTTACATTTTTTGACATTTGATTCAAACTGATTCATTTATATTTACTTTTACCAAAAAAAAAAAACTGATTGCATTTAATGTGTTATATCTGTAACTCTTCCTGTTTTTTTTTGTTTTGTTTTCAATCCTATTATTAAAGTTTCCAAAACAAGACCTAAGTAGCAAAGTCTTTTGAAAGAGTTTGTTCAAATTGATAATTTAAAAAAAAAATCAAATCAACACATTAAAATATAAGAATTTCACTGGATTAGATACCAAAATATCAAATTAAGTGATATCTGTGAACAAATGATCAACCAGGTTTTCTCAGAATTTACTTTTCTGATATTTATTATTATTATTTATTTATTTGCAATTTCTTTCAACAACAAACTAGCCTCAAGATAAATGAACATTTGACTTTTTAGTAAGTCACCAGAAGAAACACGTCTTGAGTACGAGTCCAATCAATCCTAGAAGCAGGATGTTCGAAACTAAAAAGAAAAAGATAAACAAATGAACAGATATAGATCTGAAATAGATATAGATTACAGTAACAAATACTTTAAAGTGTACAGAAGCATTGCTGACTGATCTGTTTTCCTGTGGCCTTTTATGAAATAATGTTTTTGTGACAATTAAAAGAACCAAAGACTTAAACTACTTCAGTCTGTGTGCATTGAATTTATTTAATACACGAGTTTCACAATTTGAGTTGAATTACTGAAATATATGAACTTTTCCACGACATTCTAATTTATTGAGATGCACCTGTATTTCAACCATATTTCAACATTGAAGGTCGGTCATGTGTTGGCTGGGAGTGTTTACTATTGTTTCCTTTGTAATCTAATTTCACAATGTATAATGTTATAGTAAATTACTTTATATATATATAACATGTATAGTGTTCATCCAGCAGGAGGCGCTATAGCCAGCTATGAGGTCACTGAGGTCCGGATCTTGGTACATTTTTCATGTTCAAAAATAAAATTTGTTCTCTGACTTACTAATTTGCTGTCTGCATGTATAATTAGTTTAGACAGTTTGCATGAATGTTTATAGTGTCCGTGGTATGAAAATGATCGCTGCGAGACACTGGCGGAGTGAACGAGGCTTGAGGGCGCTTAAGTTAATAAAATGGGAAGTTGCAGTTTAGGGTTAGCGATATCTTTATCAAAAGATTTGAACTAATTTTGCTTTATTTTTTTATTTATTTTTCGGTTTTATTTGTTTTCATAGCAATATGCTGGCAACATTACATCGCCGGCACTTAAACTGACTGTAATCAAAAAAGCCCACGGACAGGTTATTGCTGACAGAATTCCACATTCGGTAAGGCAAACGCAAAAAACATAATGATATTTTCTGTCAGAAACATTATCAATGCTATTAAAAAAGTAGCATTTAACACTAGTGCACAGATCTGTAGAACAAGAAGGTTACAGAATGAAATGAAATATGCAAACACTAGCCATGAAGAAGTCTATGCTATTTCATTCAGTATAGTAGTTAAATTTTCACAAAGTCATGCTAAAAGCATTAATAAGAGCAGAAGGCAAAGTTATCATCTATAAAGCAATGGTTATTAATGAAAACTATAACAGTAATACGCATTGTTGCATGAATAATTAACAACTGATAAAATCCACCCCTAACCTATATAGTAAAGTAGCCTATTAACAAATTTTGATGCAATAAATATGGTATAATTTCACAATGTTCATCCTTCCAAAACAGAGAAAACATCTTTCACAAACACCTATATGTCTGTCTCTTTTAAAGTGTTTAGTGTGAGTTGTATTTTTGGGTGAACGCTCCCTTTAAGATGGAAAATAACTGGTTTTACAAATGCCAGAAATGTGGCTTTCTGAAGAAAAATCGCTATCAAGGAGCATCTCTGATAGCACTTACTTTGGTAGCAAATCTACTCTTCTCAGTTTTTTCTGAAAAAAGACCAAGGTAAGCTGTATATTTTCTTTAATGTTCACTCATGCATTTTGTTGTAACAACACAGACAAACATTAATGTAATTCACTGGATTTTGAGTTAAAATGGGTCTTGCAAGGTTTTTTCCTCTTTGTTTTATCTGTACAAACATCAGTGTGTCTGGTTTGATCTGTCAGTGGATAAACAGCTCACATGTTTATGGTTGCTTCTGCTCCACACAAAACGTCTTTACACTGAAATGAAGTGAATCCATCAACAGTCAATTAAGAGTTTGAGGTCAAATATGATTGACAGCTTACAACGCTAAATAACACACAGTAAATACAGATATCTAATACAATATTTCACTCTTATATTAGTTTTCACACAGGGCCAAAATTCATTTGAAAGGTAAGATCAGCAGAAGCTTGTTGATTTTCGTGATGATAAAGGAGACGGACGTGTGAGTGGAAACTAACTGAGGTTTGGGGAGGATTCTACCAGATAAATATAACCGGACCAATCTTGAGTGTTTTCAGATATTTTAAGAGCTACTATCATGAGCTTTTCATTTGAGAAAATGTCTCTGAAATCAGTTTTGTTCTGTTTGTGTTTCTGGCGTCTGGTTGGTGAGTTTGAAATGTGTTTTGATGGCTTCTGTTGCTTCTGTTCTGGTAACGTATTAAATTACTGGTTAAATTAGTCAGAGAGGATTAACATTCACTGATATTCTCATACAGAAATAATTAAACTGTGATTTTACTGTGAGATCAAGATTGAATTCAGATCTGAGCTTAGTTATTAGGAATTGATTAAATTAAAATAAATATGAATCTTAAATACTCAACAGCATTAGTTTTAGTGTGCCATTACTCTTATCTGAGGTGCAAGTCTTTCTTTTTTTTATTTAGTTAATGATCTATATGAAATGTTTAACTACTTTCCCATTCATTCCAGATATGTTGTGTTTGTATTTCTGCTGAATATTATTCACTTCACATTCAAATTAATAAAAGTATGTTAGTGAAGTTCATTAAACCAACATCACGTTACTTAGAACTTTAATCTGTTAAAAACTCTGTTCTTCAGGAGTGTTTGGTGATGAAGTGAAGCCAGAGTTTAGTGAAGTGTCAGTGATAGTGGGGGGGTTCAGTCACTCTGAAATCTGGTCTTTCTAAAATGAGGAATGATGATCTGATTCAGTTTTTGTTTTATAACACTTTAATAGCTGAAATCAATAAACCGGCCGACAGATTCACTGTAAATGAGTATGTTCTTGACGGGAGATTCAGAGACAGACTGAAGCTGAACAATCAAACTGGATCTCTGACCATCACAAACATCAGAACTAAACATTCTAGACGTTATTTGTTCAGCTCTGTGATCTGGCCGTCTTTTTATCTCAATGTCTACGGTAAGTTAAATGTCAGTTTCAACTTTTTTATCACAGCCTTAAAGTAGATCTAAAGAAGTATTTCATCATGTCTAATTACATAAAATTCATAATTTT